GAAAAAAATAAAATAAAGGGGTTAAACAGTAGTTCCCAGACTTTTACCATCAAAATATCCTTTCCAACCACAAACCTTAGTTTTTCAAAGAACGTGGCAAAGTTGAAATCCTAACTTATTTTCCAGTCTGCTTTTAGAAGCCTAGGATGATGGATGACGAAATTTGGTTGCTCTATAAATGCTTGCACTTGAGTTTTCCAATCCACTCGGCCTCTAGGAGGCAGAGCAGTATCACGGAGAATTCAAACGTTAGCGACAGACAGACAGGAATATCTGCACGTACTGGCTGTGGGACTTCAGGCAAGTTCTTCAACCTCCCTGAGCCTCAGGCGGCTTTTGTAAAAGAAAACTAGTACTTGTTACATGCCAGCTGGTATTCTTGTGAGGATGGTGCAGGCCCGGGCAGTCTCTCAACCTGTTGTCCATGGGGTCGCTGAGAGCTGAAACCAGCTCGATGGCACGCGACAGTAACAACCTTATGATTGTGAATGTTCTATTAGAAAGCATCCGTGGCAATTGTCATCCTTTTTTTAAAATTTGGCTATCATTTATTTTTCATATCCATGATCTCATGTAATGATCACTACGACTCTCTTTTTGGTTCCTGGGTGGCACAAATGGCTAGAGCTCAATGATGAACCTAGCGGTTGGTGGTTTGAACCCACTTAGTGGTGCTGTGGTAGAAAGACCTGGTGATTTGCCTCCATCAAGTTTACAGTCAAGAAAGCCCTATGGGGCAGCTCTACTCTGGAACACACAGGGTCCCCAGGAGTCAGTATCTACTGGCGGGCAATGGTTTGCCACTCTTTGCAGTATTATTATCACACCCTCAGCACAACGAGGACGTGGAAACTCAGAGGAAAGGGCCAAGGTGGCCCGGTGCTGGCGCCAACTCCACCGAAGAACCCGACTCTCAGCATTGTGCTTGGGCTTTAGCCATCAACGCAGCTACGGTGTCAATCCATCTTGATACGGACCATCCTCTTTTTCGCTGCCCTGGAGCTTTAGCAGGAAGCTCCAAACTCCACTAAGATCATTGGCACTGGAAAGCGTAAGCTTTCATGGTTTGAAAAAGTCCCTGGCTCCCTAATGATACCCGGTAAATAGGAAGTGGCTGCGTCCACAAGGGCTGAACTCAGTGCAGGTGACTGCAGCCCCAGTCTAGCCCCCTTACTTGGCTGAGCCGTAGAGCTCCCAGGCTTTGGCGATCCCTAGGGCCAGCCCCTTGCTGGGATGATTGGAGAGGATCTGGGTAGCTTCTTTGGTCTTCCTTAGGACGTTGAGAACGTGTCTGTTGGGAAGAGAGAGCTGTTTGGTCATCGGTGGACCTGCGTGAGCCCTGTGCCTGTGACCTCATGGCCACTTGCAGGAACATCACTGTGAGAATCAGCTGAGCACTAGGAATGCACCTTCCTAGCCTGCTCCTGGAGGATCCGCCTCCCGCTGGAATCTGCTAGGAGCCCTAAGCCCAGCATTAGGGTGCCAGGGGAATATACCCAGGGGAGCCTTGAGGTCCTGTGACTATCCCAGCTTCCCAATGAGCGGGAGCGCTGGCCCCTGGGTGCTCACTAGACTCTTGCCACGGACCATGGGGAATCACAGCTCTTTGGTGCATGACAGCAGGCCAGAGGTGGCCTGGGCTGTGGCTCAGCCCTCAGGTGGGCCAGGGTCAGCATCCCTCCTGCCCTGGGAGTCAGACCTCCTCTCAGGCCCCCCAACACTTCTAGCTCTTTCCACCTTGGGTCCTCACCGATACTGTTCCCTCTGACTGGAACACTAGCTCGAACAATGACGGGGCACAACTAGATGCACCCCGAGGTCCCTTCTCTCCTGGACATGCCAAAGTGGAGAGTGTGCTGCCAAGGGGAACCCCTGACCTGGGACTCAAGAAGGCATAGTCTGAGTTGAAGATCCCTGGCCCAGCTTGTGACTATAGGCCCTGCTGCCCAACGGACCCACCGGTGCACAGCCGGGGTCCGGGAGGCCAAGCCCCCAAAGCTGGCAGAGATGGTGTTGATTTCAATCTGTTTCAGGGCTGGGGAGCCATCAGCACTGCGCTGGAACATGTAGTCAGAGCGGTTCAGGCCCAGGAACACAGTCTGTAGGGGGAAAGTGCACGCTGAGAACACCTCCACAAAGGCTGATTCAGGGGGTTGTGAGGTGGGGCGGCTGGCCACAGAGCAGGCAACGTGGCCCTGGATAGCACTCCCACACCCAGGGAAACGCATTCTCTGGGTCACCCCAGGATTGGTCTCTGATGTACAAACCCGGAGGGACCCAGTAGTAAGCAGCAGACTCCCATTAGCTCTGGACCTGGGCCAAATTTTGGTTAAAAAATGGAAATGGGAAGGGCCGGTCCCAGACGATGGTAGGAGAGCTCACCTGGGCAATGCCCTCCTTTAGGACTTGCTTGTAGATGTCAAAGAGGCGCGCAGTGAAGTCATCCCTTTTGATGGTGCTGCAGGAGGGGACAGGTCACATTTTCCAAGTTTCATGGGCCCTTAAATGTCAAGGGGTTCTACTCTCTCCATTGACTATTCAATTCTCTCCGGATCTCCCAGCCAAAGGCTGAATACTCACTCCTCCCACGCCCCATACAGGCATGGTAGAGAATAGTAAATAAGGACCCAGCGCAGGAGCCCGATGACCTGGGTTCAAATCCCAGTTCTCCCACTCACTACCAGGCAACACCAGAGTCCCTTCCCTGGCTCTCTCCGCAGCTTGGTTTGTCCGTATGTAAAGTGGAGCAGAAAATCATCGGATTTATAGCACTGAGTTGTGAAGATGGAATACCACATGTAACAATGAAACATAGCTCTTAGTCCTGAGAAGAACTAAAAAATGGCACGCGATAGCCTCCAGACTATTTTATACTGTGAGAGCTCTGGTGGTTGGCAAGCTTTCTGACTGACCTAACTCTCAGTAGCTTCCCTGAAACCCGGGACCTCCCAGGACAAGACAACCCCCAGCCCCAACACCTACCTCTACAGATTAGAGGCTAGCAGAAGCCCCAATGGGGTTTTTCTGATCTAATGGAATATCCTGTTTCATTTTGTATTTTTAGCAACCATTCCTCATGATGTGCTTTCCTCAGTGAAGCCATCCCTGTCTGGGCCAGGTTCCCCTGCGGTGTCTTTTCAGACCTCTGTGGGCCTTTACAGCACTGACCACAGCTCCAGTTTTCCCTTTTGTGTGTGTGCTGATGGGAGTTTTCTCTCCCACGTGACCACGTGATTATACATAGCGCGAAGACACGGCCACGTGCGTCTGTACTGCTCGTTATCACTGACGGACGGTCCTGTACACGGCTTGGGCACTGATTCCCAAAGTGGGCGATACCACCCCCTAGGGGCACTGGAAGGAGGGGCGGGGGTGGGCGCAGGGGCTAGAAAAGCAGATAGCTACACTTTATCCTGGATGATGGACTACAGTACAAACATTTTTCATTACAAGGAAGTATTGAGGAATTATTTTTCTGAAAGGAGGCAACAGGCCCAATGAGTTTGGGTGCCTCTGTGGAGTGGGAGGGGCCGCGTGGCAGGGGTTCATCCAGTATGGTTTGGGGGCTCTTCACGAAGAGAAGCAGGGAGACAGGGCTCACAGGCAACTACCACCCCAGGGGTTGCCTCAGGCTTCAGGGGGGACCCCTGCACAGCTGATGTAGCCCACCGTGGCCCAGTCCAGGAGCCAAGTAGCTCAGGTCTGCCCCCCAGCCAGCTCTTCCGGGGGTCCTTTCCAACGTTCCAGGATCCCTGGTGGCACTGTGGGTTAGGCACCAGCCATGAACTACCTAGGTTGAACGTTCGAACCCACCAGCCACGTGGGAGAGAGGCGGCGGGCTGCTCCGGGTAGGAGTTAACACTTTCGGAAAGCCGACTAGGGTTGCTAGAGTCCGTGGGCCTCTCGGAGCACAGGAGCGTCCTCCCTGCGGGTGTGGAAACCCACGCTGCCCTTTCGGAGGTGGCTCCTTTCCGAGCCTGGACTTCCGGCTGCTGTTCTAGCCCTGTGTCCCACCCCACCCCACCCCCCTGCTCTTCTCCCTCAGGAGCTGCTGTGTCCGAGGAGGGAGGAGCAAGGCAGGTGGACATGGGCCCCACTTCCCTGCTTGTCCCCGAAGGTCAGCAGCTGTCCCCCTGAAATGAGGAGACCGAAGAACAATGCCTGGAATGCCTGACTCTCTGAGAACCGGTCTGTCAGCCTGCCTGCCAGAGCTGATCAACTACATGCTGGCCCTTAAACCTTGCTGCTGCAGCATGGACCCCTCTCCCCACTTACTCCGGACCCGAAACAAAGCCTGCAGTTTCTCTGGGCTACTTGCTAGACCATGGGACTTCGCCCCGGAGCTCCCCACTAATAAAGCTATTTCCGATTCTGCTCTCCCTTTGTCCTTTCAGTTATCTTTATCCGTCTCCCCATGCCTCAGTTTACCTCTCACTCGTCCCATGCCTCAGTTTACCTTTCAGTGGGGGGCGATAGATGGGGCTGTGGGGGGTGGGGTAGGGGAAGGGAGAGGTCACGTTAAGGAAGCATTTTTGGATAAAGGTCACAAGCCAGCCTACTCCCATTTTCCATCATCCAGAGCACTCGGCACCAATGTCGGCCTCCTTAAGGCAAGACAGAGAGGGTAGGTGCTGGGCTCCCCATTCACAACCAACTGCTCCCAGTCAGCCTCACGCCAGGTACCATTGTGTCCTTTCCTATCCACTTACACGCCCAGGGACACGTTACCTTTTCAAAAGGTCTTGTCTCTAACTAAAGTGTGTGCATATGTTTACATTTTGAAAAACTGAAAGCATTGATACGCAATGCGTCTGAAGGTGAAAGGAAGGAAAAAGGAAAAGAAAAACAGCCCCAGGGGGAAAGGACGGAGAGGCTGGAAGGAGGCGGTGACTCACTTCAGAGTTCTGCTGCTTCCTGCCCTGGCTGTGGCCCGTCTATACCTGCAGGTGAGAGGCCCGAGGTGGCAGGAAGGAATCAATCCCTGCGCAGGGCAAGGTGTAGGAATGCTGACAAACCCAGGGACACTTCCTGCCTGTGCCTTTCTCTTTGGAATGAGGAAGCGTCTTGGACTGACCTTCCCTCGTTCCAAATGGAAACTCCAGTCTTCAAAGCGGAGGGCCATGAAGCACAGGATCCCGGAAGGCCAGAGCTGGAAGGCAGCCAAGTGAGGCTGACCTCTCCATTGCACACAAGAAGAAAGGGCGGGCCACAACAGGAAGAAACCAGGATTACAGACTCGCTCTCCTGGCTCCTGGTCTACTGCTTCACCGCCTTCTCTCTCTGACAGGGCTCCGGCCCCGCCAAGTCAGCTGTCATGGTCCCAGCCAGTCCCTTGGTTCTGGTGGCTCCCAGCGCCCTGTACCTGGACAGCGTTTGCTCCAGAAAGGCGGTGTTCTGGCTGACGGCATCCACCAGCAGGTTGAAGTCCATCTGCACGGCATAGGCCTGCTCCAGTAGGGCACTGGGGACCAGGGAGGGGAACAGCGTGAATGGGGCATAGCTCACCACCTGGTCGAGAGAGAGGACGACAGGGGTGGAACTCCTGTGACTGCTGTAACCGTGCCCTGGTGGAAAGCTTGGCCTACGTTTACTGAGGTCACATAACTGCAGAATAGTGGTTACGGGGGCGGAACAGGATGAGGAAAGATTACAAAAAGACCTTTTGGACTCTGGGGCGTTTTACCTCTTGGCATATTAAACAAAAACAATTCAGAAAAACACTAAAGCCAAATTATTAGAGATGGAAATGGCAGAGAAACCAAAGTGTGTGCATGTTTTAATAACAATGGAAAAAAAAACCAGCAACAAAGCAAAACACAAGAAGTGATGCAAGGTGCTATTTTAAATACATAAAGCCATCATTTAATTCTATGAGGAAGATACTATTATCATCCATATTTGACACATACTTAAGACTCAGGTTGTCCAAAGACACACATATATCTATATATTTTTGTGTACATATGTACACACACACATGCATACATATACAGCTGGTGAGTGGAACTGGGTTTGAACCAGCATGGTAGCTACATAACAGATACCATGTACATGCCTGCAGACACACACTCACACATAGCCCTGAGGTGGCTGATATCCGACTGTAGGCCCTCTTCCATGTCAGGAGCTCACACCTGTGCCCTAGCCCTGTGGTGAGGGAGGGAGCAGGGGCTGCTGTCAGGACTGTAGCAGAAGTGTCCTCTGGCCCCTGAGTAGAAGCCAGGAGAGGTCCCTCCACCCCCAGCCCGTGTTGGAGATGGTGGTCCAGGTTCAACTGTACTCCCGTTTCTTTGGACTTTGGCACAGTGAGAAACCCAAAGACCATCTAGGATACTGTTTCAAATTGGCGAGCTTCTCACCAATAACTAGATCTTGATGAACTGGTGACTTGTAAATCTTGGAGTGACTATCAGCTTGCCATTGTGGTAGTCCACGTCTATGGGACAAAAACTGAGCAGAGCCCAAACAAAGAAACTGCATTCAAAAACAAACAGAAGACTATACAGTGAGAAGGGTTGAAGGATACATTCAAAGAAGTAGAAGCAAGGGGTACCTAGGGTAAACACATTCAAAATGATGGTAGGTAATTCCCCACTCACCCTCCTCGGCATTTGCTTTACGGTACAACAGAGGAGGCTGTTTGGGAGAGTGTGGTGTGTGGTTTATTCTGCCTGAGACTTTATGCGTTAGACTGGGGATGACTGCAGAGTCTGCAAGGAGTGACCGAACACCCCGGGTACACCTAGGGGTGACCACTGTCCTTGCCTTGACCATTCCAGAGATCTGCCTCTTCTAACAAGACCCATTTGGTCTGAATCATTTTGCTGCTAAGACTTCTTTCTGACTCTGCTCTCTGCTCCTCGGGACTCATATGGCCACCTGAAGTGGGGGTCAGTAGGAGAGAGTTCATACAACTGCTCCCCACTTGTCCATTGGGTGAAGGTTGACACACCATCGTCTCACTTTGGATAGAGATGTGTAAACAAGACCGATATTCTTCGACTGTAAGAAAAACTATAGCATCTGCATGACAGAAAAGGCTCTGCTTCATAGTCGGGAAAACTACCGGGAGTGGCCGGGATGGCGGCACCTAATGCTTAGTGCTTTTTCATTTTAATCATTTTATTAGGGGCTCATACAACTCTTATCACAATCCATACATACATCAATTGTGTCCAGCACATTCGTACATATGTTACCATCATCATCCTCAAAACACCTGCTTTCTACTTGAGCCCTTGGCATCAGCTCCTCATTTGCTTAATGCTTTTAAAGAGGGCGGCCAACTCCGCTCCAGCCCATTGGTGCCAGCCAGAAAAGAGGGTCAACTTGCCAGATGAGCTGGCTTTTCCCAAAGACGTAGCACATCTAGCTGCATGTTTGTTTGTTTGTTTTCCCCCAACAGTTGTATTGGCGTAAAATTCATGTATCATACAATTCAATTGTCGGATTACACCGAGAAGAGTTGTGCGCATCTACATGTTTTGGGGCTGGCTCCTGCTTTGGAAAACAGAACTGAAATTCCCTGTGTGCCAGCCATCCCACTAGTAGGCAGATACCCCAAAGAAACAAGAGACACAACAAGAATGGAGGTACGCTCTCCCATGTTCCTAGCAGCACAGTTCACAACAGCAAGAAAGTGGAAGCAGCCCGGGTGCCCAGTAGCAGAGGAAAGGGTAAGGAACTGGGGCACATACACACAATGGGATACTGTGCATGCCTGAAAAACAGCGATGAGAGCATGAAACACCGCTCACGCTGGAAGGACCTGGAAACCATTATGCTGAGTGAATTCAGTCAATCACAAAAGGATAAGTATTGTATGAGTCCACTACTCTAAGAAGAAACACTAATTAAAACAAATCTTATGAACCAATTCCTGAACAAAAGGGGAGCAGGCCACCTACCAGCCATGAACCACACATCACCTCCTTTCCGTGCACTTCACAAGAGCGGAGCTGACGTGAAGGAGACCTTTACGTTGCCTGGGATCACTCCCTCTAGAGGGGGGAAATGGGAGCTGACCATCTACTCGAGACAAGACTCGGGCAAATCAAGCGCTCCCTACCCCCGCCCCCCACCCCCCCATTGGAATGGAAGGAGAATCTTGCCAGAATATCAAGCCAAGACCAGGGGAGGAGGACAACTACACTGTGGAGGAGACACGGATAGTTCTGCTGGTGAGCACAGTGGATGATTGGGGAGAAGTAACCTCATACCAGGAAGGGATGCTAAACAATGACTGTACAGAACCTAGGGGGACAATGGGTCAGATTATTTGCTCCTGGGTAGACAACACCAATATGCTTCCACCCTACCCTCAGTGAACCACACCATGGACTAAGCACCACGATGACCTTGGATGCTGGCTGGCCTTGCAGGCAGGATGGCATAACGTAGGGGCTACACTAGAAGGACTTACTACAGAGGCCCCGATGGATGAACTGAACCTTGCCTTGAAGCTGCCTGCACCATTGGACTGAGGACTGGGGTACTCAGAGGGGAGAGGAAGCAGAGAGACTGTGGAAGTGGTGGTCACTGAACCTAGAGGGATGGAAGTCCAATGGAAAGAGACCCAGAATCATATATTTAGTATCTGGAGACCCCCGCTCACAGTGACATCACGAGTTTTGATCTGTTGGGCAGGTGTCTGCACTTGGAAGAATTACTCCAGGAAGTCCCCCCACCCCACCCTGGCACCAATCCCCATACTCAGGGTAAACAGAGCTCAATGGGACGGGAGATTGAATTGTATAAGGCAGTGGTTCTCAACCTTCCTAATGCTGCAACCCTTTAATACAGTTCCTCATGTGGTGGTGACCCCCCATCATAAAGTTATTTTTGCTGCTACTTCATAACTGTAATTTTGCTACTGTTATGAATCATCATGTAAATATCTGATATGCAGGATATATTTTCATTGTTACAAATTGAACATAACCAAGCATAATTAAAGCATAGTGATTAATCACAAAACAATATGTAATATAGTGGAGGAAGGAGGGGATCAAAGGGAGCGGATATCAAGGAGGTCAAAATGAAAGAAACAGATTGTGGTGACAAGTGTCCAATACTGCTTGATGTGACTGAACTATGGAATGTTACCAGATCTGTCAGAGCTCCCAATACAATGATTTTTAAAAGATGTAATTATATTGATGTGTTTTCCAATGGTCTTGGGCAACCCCTGTGAAAGGGTCGTTAGACCCCCAAAGGGGTCGTCACGACCCACTGGTTGAGAACCGCTGATGTAAGCTCCTGGGCTGTGGCTCAAGGTGGAACATTGACTTCTCAAACGCACAGGGTCCAGAGAGCTGTGTCACTGAGAAAACTGATGATGTCATCAGTGCCTTATACACCAGGAGGATGATTGACAATGTACTTTTTTGTTTCTGTGGGTTTTTGTTTTCCTGCCTTTAGCTTGTTTGTTTGTTTGCTGGTTGGTTTGTTGCTGTGGTTGGTGTAGGTGGTCTCACGGGATTTTGATTTTGTCATAACGCAACTGCCAGAGTAAACCTGAGTTGTGCATATCCCATGGACAAGCAGATAGATTCTGGGCTCCTACTAAACTCTAACCCCAATCCAAGAACAGTTAGTTCTGACCACCTGGCCCTGCTCAATAGTCACCTTCATAAAATGATCACTGAAGATAAGGGTGCAGCAGCAAAGCGTGGTGAAGAAAACAGATGGTGCCTGGTTATCAATCGGAATACTGTCTGGGGTCTTAAAGGCTTATAGTCAAACAACCGGCCATCTAAATGAAGAGTCATCTAAGTCTACATGGAAGAAGCATGCCAGCTTGTGTGATCCAAAGATGACAATAATAAAATTCAATATGACGAAGGGAAAAGTATCAGAGCTAAAATTATGAACATCCAATTGGTAGAAGGCTGTGGAGGACAGCAGGAGAGTATCTGCAGAGTAGCTAGTCAGATTCAGCCTCTAGTCACAGGCAAGGGTCTCGAACAGCCTTACTATCAGACAGAGAGCATTATAAACCTGATTATGCTGGATCGAACTTGATACTTGGTCAGTTGACCTCCCTCTTGCCCCAACCTGAATTTGTTCTAAGTGCAAGTAACCTGAATTTGTTCTAAGTGCAAGTATCTCACACTTATTCCATGACAAAAATTTCATTCTTCATTTTTTAATATTGCTGGTCTTTTCATTCTTATTATTTGTATTTTTACCTTTATATTATTATTTTATCCTTACTTTATTTCATTTTGGGTTTTCATTGTTTCTGTTGACATTTCCAGTTTGTGAAACACAGAAGGAGTGGCTGCATACAGACAATAACTGATGCATGGGTTTATAGGGGATGTAGGGGTGGAGGGAGAGAGATAGGGAGGGTGAGGGGATTTGGGAAGTAAACAATGAAGGCAGGAGCGGGCAGGGAGCACTAGAACTGATGGTGATGACACAATTCATTTTAAAGGCGATTTAACTGTGAGGAACAGAAGAATTTCTCTTAAGTTGTCTCCCCAAAATATGTACCAGACTTAGCTGCTTAAGAATGACTGTTTTTTAGGCAGCGAAAGTTAGTCAGAGGTTATTCTCCTTAACATCAGCCATCTATAGTGGCTGGACTATTAGTCTGACTCACCCTAAATAAGACCCACTCCCTTCTGATAAGGATAATGGTGGTCTGTTTACTTGCAGGAGATACCAGAGAGGGCAAACCCGCCCAAGGATGACCAAGGTTAGATAGTCATGATCCGCTGTCTAGATCAAGCAGACATCACTGTTTATCCCACAACAAATGTGGGCACACCCCTAGGTCATGCCCCTCCTATTGATGTATTGCTTATGTTAATACCCCTATGTTAATACCCCGCCTGGTGACTCAGGTTATTGTCCACTATCAGGGAACTTGCATGCCTCCCAGAATAGTAATTGTCTGTTTTATTATATGAGACATCAGAGTGATCAAACTTGTTCTAGAATGAATTGTATTGCCCCTTTCTGTGATGTATGACTCTGTAATCAGATCCCCTAAAGCGATATGATGCGTGGTTAGCAATAAATAATGAGGCTCCCTGGTTCTCGGGAGGGTGGCTGGAGAAGGTGACTAAGGAGGACGAAGCATCGGCTTCTTCTCTGACGGCTAAGTCCCCTCCACGAGGACCATCAAGCCGAGCTGAGGTGAGCGATGCTACCATGAATTGCGTCTGACTCCATTACTTGACTCTATCCTTTAACTCTCATGCTCTCTATGACTTTACTGTAATCTCTACTTATTATCGCTGTACAATTGCGCCTACTGAACCTGTGATGTTTTGTGGGGTTCCCTCTTCCCCTTAACCCCACATTTAACCATGGGGAGGGGGTGTGTTCTGAAGTTGATTGGGGTAATGGCCGCACAATTCTCCTTTCTACTGAATACCTTTTGAACTGTGTACCCTATTAAACAACAACAATAAACCCTAGCTCCCTAACTATTACAACTGACGAACACCCAGAGCCTTGGACTCCCTTTTCACCCCTGCTCCCCACCACACTCCTCTTGGCTGGCTGCCTTTGCCTGCCTGCTTTCCCATCATGGCCACCCACGGGCTCCAGTTCTGCTGCCTTCTCAACACTGGTCTGCCCTTTCTTGCTACTGGACCTCTGCTGTGCTCTTTCTTTCTCCTTTCTGTCTTTTGAGGCCTCGTTCAATACCATGTCCCATCTCCATCTTCTCATCACAAGGGACTGTTCCTTTGGAACTGAAAGGACATTCAGGAGGAGCCTGGTTTGAGTCCCTCGAGGCTGCCATGGGATACGCTGACGCACGCAGAATTGCTCAGGGAAGGAGATGGAAACACAGCCGTGAACAGGTATCGACCTAGATGGAGGGTGTGTTGAGAAACAATCATGTCACATGTCGATATTTTTGTTTAGTAACAGTGTCTGTGATTGTGTGGCAATATGTTTTGACTTACTCGCATTTGTTTGTGACAAATAAACTATTTGAGGGGTACACCATACGTTAAAATACAGACTGTTAGCAGGCAGCTACCGAATACTCTGTAAACTCCTCTACTCTTTGACTTTTGAACTATGAAAATCTCATAACCGGCCACAAAGGTTTTTTGGTTTACTTTTAAGATAAAAGTTTTTAAAAGAAGTGGTTTGGATTACATTTATTACAGTATTATGTTTATGTTATCAACCCTACAGCGACACTCACAGGTGCCCATCCAGAGAGGTGCACGGATGTTCGTGTAGCATCCCAATGACATGAGAATCACCAAAAGAGCCATCAGTGGAGAAAACACAACCTGTGGCCTGTCCACCCTGGAATACTGTTCACCAAACAAAGCTGATCCCGATGGAGGGAGCTGGAAAGAACTCCAAGACAGATTGTTAAAGGAAAAAACGGGCTCCAGAATACATATGAATTCTACAACGTATGTTTTAGAAAACGGTGTGCTCCATGTACGCCTTCCTATATGTGTATATAAAATCACAGAGACCCGGGATGACAGGCAGCAAATCACTGACACAGAAGGGAGTGTGATTAGGATGGGCTCGGGGTCTTGGTAAATAGTAGCTCACTAGGCTAAGAGCAAGCATCCCTGTAGTGCAGTGGTTAGAGTGCTTGGGTTCTAAGGAAAGAGTCGGTAGTTCAAACGCATCAGCTGTTCCACTGAAGAACAATGAGGCAACATGTTTCTATGAGGATCTGCAGCCTCGGAAACTTGGGGGCAGTTCTTACTGTCCTTTAGGATAACCGCAATGGGAATGGAATCAAAGGCGGTATGTTTGGGGGGAAAGTGCTTTCTAAGATTTAGCTCTTAATTCTTTCACCAACATAGCAAGGTAAGTAAGAAAAACTGCAGTTGAGAGAGGTTAAATAAATCGCCAAAATCAAGCTTCAAATCCCTTATCTTAAGTTGACTACAACAGCGTGCTGCTTGTTACTTTACAGACTTCCTGGGGTCACTTTTAGGGACAGGACAAACTAAAAGAGTGAGGCTCTCTGCCCTGAAAGAGCTGCTCCCCGCAAGGCAGGACCCAAGCAGTGGGTCAGGGGAGCATGGGCAGTGTCTCGGGGAGTGGACAGTGTGCTTACGGCTGAAGAAGTGGGATCCTGGGCCGTCCTCAGAAGCACACCCTCAGCCAGGGCCCGATCCACGGCCTGCCTTGCCAGCTCCTCCAGCTGCTGCTCATCCTGCAGGAAGCTCTCCCAGCCGGAGGCCATTCCAGCCTGCACAAGACGGAGAAGAGGACTTGGTGACGATGTCCTGGGGCCCATCACCGTGGAAACTGCCGGGTGCAACACACCCGCTGCTCACAGGAGAGAAAGATGTGGACAATTGCTTTGTAAAGGGAGCCCGGTGGCTGCCTGTCTGGTCCCTAAGAGTTAGAATCAAGTCCGTGGCAATGGGCTTGAGTTTTTTGGTTTAGTGGCCGCACCCAGCACAGAGGGACCCTGGCCTTTACCAAGATGTGGACATTCGCTGGGTTTAACTCTTAGAAAGTTTCCCTGTGTACGAGATGGAATACTCGACAAAGCATCTCATCGCCACCCCTGACTCCTAACACCAGGACGATATTTCACTTGAAAAGCAAGGAGGTGGAGGCTCAGAGAGGTGAAATGATGGGCCCAGGGTCATGCCTCCTAAAACCGGGGACTGAGCCCAGCCCTCTTCATTAGAGAAAGTGGCACACGTGGCACATGTGAGTGGGGCCAGGTCCTTCCCCTCCTAGAGCTGCTGATCTCGGCCTGCGAAACAAGGAGGACCTGTGGCTGCCGAACTTGGGGCGTGGGAAAGAATACAGATTTCTAGGCCTCATCCCAGCGATCCAGATCCAAAAGGCCTTAGGGCAGGGAGGGTAAGCGCCTTATTTTTAGCAAGTTCTTCAGGGATGGGACCCACTGCAGTAGATTATTAATTTCCTTCTCAGCTTCAATACATGCTGGCGAATCTCAAAGTTGCAGGTGACGTCTGGGGGCAGGCAGGCAGAAAGGTGTTCTCTGTGGAATACCATGAAGTGCTGATAATACAGGGATGAATGTTCCCTTTGAACTAACCAGAAACAAACTTACTAACAGAAAATGACAACATTTGATGTACAAGCACCTGTCTTCATGGAAACACCAAACAGATTACATTTCTTTTTTTTTTTAATTAAAAAAAATTTTAAGGCCATTTTATTGGGGGCTCTTACAAGCGGTTTTAACAATCCACACATCAATTGTATGCATGGATTTGTACATATGTTGCCATCATTATTTTCTAAACATTTACTTTCTTTTTGTTTTTTAAACATTTACTTTCTATTTGAGCCTTGGTATCCGATCCTCTTTTCCCCCTCCCTCCCTCACTCCCACCCTCGTGACCCCTTGATAAATGATGATGATTATTTTCATATCTTACACACATGTATGTCTCCAGATTACATTTCTGAGACAGCACATGACCATAAAACTCCAAACTCATTGCCATCAAGTTGATTCTGACTCATAGCAACCCTATAGGATAGAACTGGTCCCCCCCACCCCCAGGGTTTCCAATGCGATACATCTTGATGGGAGCTGAAAGGCTCATCTTTTTCCCTCAGAGCAGCTAGTGAATTTGAACTGCTGATCTTGCAGTTAGCAGCCCAACACATAACCACTATACCACTACACCCCTCACTAAGCCACTACACCACCAGGGCTCCTATTAGAAAAGACAGACCATCAGAACCTCCAGGGTCAAATGCAATCGGAGTCTGACTGGGTTCCCAGAGACACATACAGGCGTACAACTCACACCTCCGTGATACTCAATTTGAAGCAGATAAAACCCGGAAATGCCAACTATTAATTTTGTTCTGCCCTCGTGTTCATTGTATTTGGAAATAGAACTTGACTGCTTAGCTCAAGAAATGGCCGTGGTCCCCAGGAAGCAAGTGAACAGAGTGAGACCGTTATATTCAGCTCCATCCTTCAGAACAGAGCGAGGATTCCAAACCCAAACCCACCACTGAGTTGATTCTGATTATGAAAGCAAATTACCGTATCTTTCTCCCGCAGAACAGCTGGTAGGTTCAAAACACCGAACTTGTGGTTAGCTGCTGCCCACTTAACTATCGCACCGCCAGGGCTCCTTACTGGGCATCTACCAGATGATACAGTTTGCAGGCCTCAGCACAATGTTGTAAAAGTACACGTGATCTCGAGGCCGCGGACAACCTCCCAGTCAGGTGAGAGGCAGATGATGGCAGGGTCAATAAAAGAGGTGACTTGGAGTCTGACAAATCCGGGTTTGAGCCCCTAATGGTATTACTTCCCTAATAAACAAGGGTGCTGTGTGGATTTGATGAGAAACAAAACTGATGAAATTGCTCAGCATAGTGTCTGAAGTTCCGTACATGGGAGCTAAACCCACTTTACAAATGGGAGGGAATTTGCTGGCGGTCACATTGCAGCTGAATGACGAAGGCAAGAATAGAGCCTGTGACTCGGATTATCAGAGCAACGGAACCCGCCATGAGCCCCACACCCCCAACCCCCTCTCCACAACTCTGGGATTCCAACATCTCTGCCTGCTGCGGAACTTGTGTTTGGTACCACGTGCCAGGCTCCTGAGGTCAGAGAGTCACAGAAGAAAAGATATTATGGAAAGTGCTACCGGCCACACAAAGTGCAGGAGCTGAGAGAGCATTGAAAGGGGGTGGTCCTCTGACAGGGCCCGGGGCAGGGTGGACAAAGGTTCACAGAGGTGGTGGTGTGGGAGAGGGACACTTGAAGCTGAATTCAAACTCCGGAAGTGGCAAAAAGGTATTTGAGGTCGCAGACTGCTGTGTGTACAGATGCACGATCATCTGGAACAGAGAGGCTTGCTGCGGCTAGTGTGTGGGATTTCAGGAGGTTATCAATTGGAACCTCCATGGAGGGGGTCCCTAGGATCCATGGGAGTGGGTTTGGCATTTTTCCAAATGGTGTACAGGCTTGTGGGTTTCTCTTGATCTCTTTGCCTACCCTTTCAGGCTCTTTGGGCACCTCTTCCTCTCAAACGGACTGCCATCAAATCAGTTCTGACTCCTGGCAACCCAGTCTCATCTCTAAAGGGTCGAGCTGCTTTTGTGTTGGCTTGAGTCCTCTGTTTTTTCCCTCAATTTAGATTTTCTCTGTGAACACACTTAGCCTTCCTTGGGGCTTTAGTTCTCTCTGTTGATGACATCTGCTAAATCTACACCTTCTGGCCAAGGCTTTCTTGACCTTCAAACTACAAGATAATCACTATTTACTGGAACTCTCTACACAACAGGAAAAGAATTTGTGATCTCTCCCCAAAGCCCCACCCAAGTACCCCAACCCTTACACTCTGGGCTACAGTCCACCCTCCTCCAAATCCTGCCATCGGCTGCCTGGATGGCCAACAGGGCAAATGTGTACCTTGCCCCTGCCACTTGACAGATACAGAAAGGCATCTGTAGTGACCAGGACAAGCACTCGGCCTCTCACCGCTCCAGGGCATACCACGTGCGGTGGACTCTTTGGTACAGGGTCCCACGTCCCCACGTCTGACCAGCCTTCATGATTTTGTCTCAAAGGTCACATGCCTGTTTTCCATTCAGGGCTTCTACTACCCGTGACTTTCTCCCGTACGTTAGGGCTCGCGTTGTTCTCGATCATTTCTCCACCTCCAGTGCCCAGTACTGTCTGTGCTCGATGAACGGTACATGAGTTCATCAGTGGTTGTCGCCAAAACCTTTAAAACGCCCACGCGGAAATCCAGTCGGACTTTATCCAGAGGGTGAGGCCAGTGCCTACCTGAGGCCCCGGGCAACGGACGCCTCGACTCGCCCACAAGCCCAAGCCTAGCCCACTTCAGCGGCCCGCTCACTCCGACCCCATCGTAAATTTCGCTCGAATCGCTGCCATTCCCTGCCCCGCTATCCCTCCGGCTCTGGTCTCACAGCCTGACCAGTGGTCAGCTCGGAGAGATCTGGAGCCCCAAAGCGCCAGCCTAACCCTTCCCCAAAAGCTGGTCATCAAGCGCCCGACCGTACGATGGGACGGATGAGTTTGAACAGCGAGATTGCCTAGTTCCCGAACTCCCACCTCTCTGCAGAGATCCCTCCCGCACAGCCCTCCTCCCAAGGAAACTTGACCCTGGGCGGCCGCCGTCGCCGCGCACCACCTACTCGCTCGTCGTCGCGCCGGCAGCCGTACTTGAGCTCCTCTGGCTGAGACCCGAAGGTCGGGGGCGGGTCCTCGGGGCGACCGAGTGCGCTTGCGCAGACCTTCCGGGCGGGTCCTCGAGGCGACCGAGCGCGCTTGCGCAGACCTTCCGGGCGGGTCAGAGATCACGGGGCGGGGCATTGACCTGTCGTAGGGGAGCTTGTGGAACCGCGTGGCGGCCGCGAAGGGGCAGTCCGTGTGAGGGTAGCCTTGGTGTTAGGACTTCTTCGGCTTACCCCTGGCAGATAGGGCTGTAGGGTCAGGTTGGGTCTGAAGTTGGCGGGGAGCCCAGGTATCTGGTGGGTCAATGGAAGATGGGGGAGGCTGATAGCCAGAGTGGTAGGGACACCTAGTTGGTGGGGTGGGCGTGGTGATGTTGCACTCGCACCGGTTCTTGGTCTGGCGGACCACAAGTGGCAAGCAGAAAGCAAAGTTTATTTAGGAAGGAAAGAAGAGCACCTGAAGCAGCAGGACTCGACTGAGTTGCCCTTGAATGGACTTTATCTAGACGCTAGGGTTTTGTCGGCTGCGGAGTACTGCCTGCCTGTATCTCCCGCTTAAGAACGGACGCATCCCGGGTCTGGTCACCTTTCTCGGGTCCAGTCACGAACCTGGGCATGCACTGCCCACGGCTCGGTCTTGCACAGCTATGGACAAGGAAGCAGGCAATGGTGTCAGGGGGTTGCTGACTTTAAAATCAGCCTAGGGGTTCGGTGCCTTCTGGCTCAAGATTTAAAATGATCCTAGGCTGTTGAGATCATTCTTACAGACATTAGGGGCAGAGGCCAGCTCAGGGGCCCCAACACGTTAGAGGCTCCTGAAACCTAAGCTTCTGTTTTCCAAAACAGCCCGAAAAACCCACTTGATTTTTGTTCCCTGCACAGAAGCAAAAAGAAAGCATTTTCATGTTTCCAGCAGTTTTTGAAGTCAGCAGTGTTTGCGGGGAAGTCTAGTATTTATTTCTCAATGTCTCATACAGTGATTCTCAACCTTCCTAATGCCTTGACCCTTTCATAACAGTTCTTCATGCTGTGGTGACCCCCGAACCATAAAATTATTTTCATTGCTATTTCATAACTAATTTTGCTACTCTTTTGAATCGGGCGACCCCTGTGAAAGGGTCGTTTGACCCCAAGGTTGAGAATCGCTGGTCTAATACCACCCACATCAGGATCTGGGACAGTTGTTTGTCTTTATTATAGATTCTTGTTTCCTACCTCCTGTGGGGCCCCAAAGGCCTTAACAGTTGCATCTTTCTGGGTTGTGATGTAGTGATTCTCACTCTGATGAAGCCCTGACAGGAGTTTTCATTAAATTGAACTGAATCCAGGCTCTGGGGATTTAAATACTAATGAGGCACAGCGTGCTTTCACAGCAATGAAGTGTTTTTGGTGGTGGTGGTGGTTTTCTGGAGGAACCAGGAAACATTGCTTTGGGTTTTGAAGGATGAGTAGGAGTGTAGGTGAGAGGAGAGCATGAGACAGTGTTCCAAATAGCAGGAACAGTCAATACAGGCATGTAATCCTGAAATGTGCTAAGGCTTGTTTTAAGAGCCCTGAGGAGCGTGGTGTGGATAAAGAGGAGAGCCCTGGGCGTTCACTGGCACCCAGTTAGGCACTCTGGCTGAGAGTGGTAGGCTTGGATGTCAGGTTCTGGAGTTTGGCATTTATCCAAAGAACAATTAGGGAGCTGTTGGCCGGTTTTAAGCAGGGAAAAACAGGGGTCAGACTTGTCAGACGTTGCTCGGAATGTAGCAGAGAGAGTGAATGAGCCCTTTGTAATAGCTGCGGTCGGGAGTGCTGAAGCCTGAGCTGGGACAGTGGCATTGGAGATGTGGAGAAGGGGGACAGATGAAAGAGTTAGCCGCGAAAGAACTACAACGGATTATCAGGATCCAAGCAAATAAAATCTCAAATAAAGCAGGTGCATTTTCTGACCACAGGGCAGGCTGAGTCCTCTAACCATGTCTAAGGGGGCCAGGGTGTTTTGGCATTTCCATGATGTCCTGTCCTGGGCTGCTTTTGTTCCTGAGGGAAAGCCTGATGCAATAATGACTCTAGCAGGCCCCAAGCTCCGCTGTTTAACCTGGAACCAGGATTTCTTGTACAGCACAAAATTAAAAAACAATATGTGGCCCAGAGTTCTCTGGGCTGGTCCCCCTCTTCTAAGATGGGGGCCAAATGAGGATCTGAGACCTGAATGGCCCTTCCATCGAATCCCTTCACACTGTGGCAGGTAAGGCGTCTTTCTCCCCAGGTTGTAAGTGTGGCAGCTGAGGCTCAGAAGTTGTGTGATGGGCTCAAGGTGGCTCAGCTGGTGGTGACGCTGAGAGGAAGGATCTCTTGGTCAACAAGGGTCTTTCCAGTGAGGCTTTGCCTGTCCTGCTCTCTCTGCCTGGGTGCCTCATCCCGTCAGTAATCTCGGCATTCTCGTCGTTGCCTTGTCATTCCCTAGTCTCCTCCTCAGAGGCCATCCTGTCAGTCTGTATCACGTGATTTTCCTTGTAGGCTGGTCATATCCGACGTTCCTCCCACTGCAACGGGAGCGCCCCGAGAACAGGGACACTCTTGTCTTGCTCACCACCTCACCTCCAGCAGCTGCATGTTGCCCTTCCCTCAGGGGCGGTGTAGCTGTAAGGTGCTCCCCAGTTAGCTTTTGACTCAAAGTGGGACCCTCTGGCCCACAGAAGCAAACACTGCCTGGTCCTAGGCCATCCTGACAATGGTTGTGACGCTTGAGTCCATTGTGGCAGCTGCTGTGTTTGCTGACTGATGGAAAGAGGCTGGGGAGAGGGGAAGCGAAGGAAGCCCACGTTTAGAGAACATTCCATCCCTTTCAGGTGCTTAGATCTTCATCAGCTCCCTTTGTGGCCTTTCAAGGTAGGTGCTGACTTCCTGCTAGGTGGACCATAAGTCATGCAAAGTGAGTTCAAGTAAGTCATTCGCTACTTACCAAGCCACCTCTTGGAATCTCCATTAGACATGAACTTTTTGTAGAGAAATTCATACTTCCTCTGACCCAGTCGGGAGTCTAGCTCTAAAGATCGGGATTGAGAATTTGCTTGGAATCTCTCTGGCCCCGAGCCAGAACCAGCCCCTCCTCACGTGACAAGGATAGGCTACAGAAACCTGCGAAAGTTGCAGGAGCAGCGTGAGATGATAAGTCAGGGAGCCTTGGAGTCTCCGTCCTGGGCTCAAACCCTGACTAGCCGCGGGACCCAGGGTGGGTAAGCCGTGTGACCTCTCTCGATCCAACTGTCCTCGTTTTCGAAAAGGAGCTTTTTCCCCACCACTGACTGTGCCAGGACTGTTGATGGGTCTGCTCACCAAGCCTGGCTCTTGGTTAATGGCGGTTCGGTCACCTCCCTTGTTCATAACAGGCCTGTTCCTGTCTCCACTCTATGACAGGAGATGAATGGGGCAGCTTGAAAAGGTGTCCTGATTTTCCAAAGAGCACCTAACATCACCCTGTGAGCCATGCCTCCCACAGATGCACCTAGAGACCTGTCGTGGGCTTTGGCTGCCCATAGTGGACTCTTCAGTCCCTTGCTCTTGATGGGGACATCCCAGTCTGTTCCGGGGTCTGCATCACATGTTCTGTGCATGTGGCGGCTCCCTCTTTGAGTAGTGACCTCACCCTGCCTGGCATTGTTGTTTAGGAGGCTTTCTCCCCACCTGGCTTAGAATGGAATTCCTCTGTCTCCCGGCCCCTCGCAGGAAATGCCTGTGGAATCCAGGGAGAACGCTCCATGTGTTGAGGATTTACTGTGTGCCAGGCCCATCCTGGACACTTGATATGTGTTCTCTCCTGGACTCCCCCACAGTAATCCAGGAGGGAGACATGACAACCCCCAAATCTCCATGGTCATCTAGCCCATTGCAGCTCACAGCCACCCCATAGACCAGCCAACTTGCCCCACAGCGTTTCCAAGGCTGTTGGTCTCTGGGGGAGAAGGTTGACTTCGTTCCCTGAGGCATGGCTGGGGGCTTCTAACTGCTGACCTTTCAGTCAGCAGCTGAGTGCTTAACCCCTGTGCCACCAGGGATCCTAGTATGCCCTTTACCCCACACAGTTAGGGAAGGAGTCACTCTTCCTGGTTTCATGAGAAGACACAGACGTGTTTGCTTTGCCCACTGACAATGACTGATGGCGCCCAGATAGACTCCAGGGCCTGTGTTCAGTGACCCAGAGATGGGCTCGCCGTGGGCCTGGGAGCTGAGAAGGGAAGACATGTTCTTTCTGAGGCTCCTGGGATCTTCAGGCAGCTCCTGTTTTATCCAGAGGAAGCAGCGGGAACCCAGAACGGGAGGTGACTGATGAGCCCTCTCTGTTCTCCATTGTTCTGCCTCATGGCACACGTCTCGGCACTCAGTAATCACTTGTAACACATGATTACCATGAAAGCATTGTGAAAAAGATAAGAGGATGAATATGCTTCACCTGAATTGGGTGCTCATTATTCCATTTTTCAAATTGAGTTCACCAAAGTTGTACCGCCCCCACCAATATCTAATGCCAGAATATTTTTTTCCCCTCAAAAAGAAATCCTGAAATGGGGGGAAAGGGGGAGCATAGGGGCAGGGCAGACAGGAGGTTAGAGAAGTTGTTCAGTGTCCAAATGTTGACCTGAAATGTAAACTCCCATCGCATTCACGATACAACGTAAAAGAAAGCAAGCTTATGCTTATTGGCAGTCATTCCTTAGTCTTCCCTCCCTCCAGCCCCTTGCCGCCACTCATCTGCTTTCTGGTGCTATCGGTTTGTCTACTCCGGAATCAGTGGAATCATAAAATGTGTGACCTTCAGGGACTGGCTTTTTTCACTTCATGTTTTCAGGTTCAACCATATAGTGGTCAGTCTTAGTACTTCATTGCTTTGTATGGCTGAATAAATACTCCGTTGTACAGATATACCACCATTTGCTTCCCCATTGCTCAATTGATGGAGATTCGGGTTCTGTTTTTGCTGTCATGAATAATTCTGCTATGAACGTGTA